CACCATGTCTGAATTCACTTAACTCTTCAGAATGACCCCCCCCCTTTTTTTGCAAATATTTGTAAATGCAGACTGCATGACTAGGTGCTTGATTTTATACACCTGTGGTAATAAGTCTGATTGAAACACCTGCATTAAATAATTAAGACGTGTGCCCCAATACTTTTGTCCTTATAGTGTATGTAGTGTACTTTGTTGTGTATTATAGCCAACATTTTTCAGGTATTCCTTTTAAAATGTGCATATTGTACATACTACATGCTGAATATAGCAAAAACAGTATGATTAGTATTATTCTATTCTAAAAAAATTGAATAGTATAGTAATAGTTGTATTTTAGTATTTTATTTTACCCATATCTGAATATACCTCCTCATAGTCTTTCATCTATCGGTATACAATATTCCTAAACCTGCATCATGTTTAATTAGTTAATTTATGTGACTGACACAGTTGTGTATTAATCAGATCTAATTAAAACGAAAAATTAAAATTACCCCATGATTTACTCACCCGCCATCCTAGGTGTATATGTCTTTCTTCTTTTAGACAAATATAATCAGAGTTATATTAAAAAATGTACTGGCTCTTCCAATCTTTATAATGACAGTGAATGGTGGTCAAGATTTTGAATTTGTAAATGCAGACTGCATGACTAGGTGCTTGATTTTATACACCTGTGGTAATAAGTCTGATTGAAACACCTGCATTAAATAATTAAGACGTGTGCCCCAATACTTTTGTCCTTATAGTGTATGTAGTGTACTTTGTTGTGTATTATAGCCAACATTTTTCAGGTATTCCTTTTAAAATGTGCATATTGTACATACTACATGCTGAATATAACAAAAACAGTACGATTAGTATTATTCTATTCTAAAAAAAATTGAATAGTATAGTAATAGTTGTATTTTAGTATTTTATTTTACCCATATCTGAATATACCTCCTCATAGTCTTTCATCTATCGGTATACAATATTCCTAAACCTGCATTAGTTAATTTATGTGACTGACACATAAGTTGTGTCATTAATCAGATCTAATTAAAACGAAAAATTAAAATTACCCCATGATTTACTCACCCGCCATCCTAGGTGTATATGTCTTTCTTCTTTTAGACAAATATAATCAGAGTTATATTAAAAAATGTACTGGCTCTTCCAATCTTTATAATGACAGTGAATGGTGGTCAAGATTTTGAAGCCCATAAAAGTGCATCCATCCATCATAAAAAGTACTCCACACGGCTCCGGAGGGTTAATAAATGCCTTCTGAAGCGAAGCGATGCGTTTGTGTAAGGAAAATATCCATGTTTACAACTTTATAATCCGTAATCTTTAGCTTCCGCAAACTGTCGTACTTGCGTTCACGAGAGAGTGGCGTTCCAGTGGATGATGTAGGATGTACAGTAGGCATAGCGTAAGCGCCGGTAAGAACTGGTGAACGCAGAAGCGCAGAGGAGAGAGCAAAACAAAACACCGGTCACGAATTAGAAGTACAAAACGAGGATTTGTAATGAAAAATGTTGGAGGATTTCAATATATGTCAAGAGGAGACTGGTTTTCCTTGGCTGTAAACAAAACTTGGTTCTTGCGAGACTAGCATATTCTCACCGGAGCTTACTCTACGCCTATACGTCATCTGCTGGAACACCACGCCAGGTCATGTTTTAATATAACTCCGACTGTTTTCGTCTGAAAGAAGAAAGTCATATACACCTAGGATGGCTTGAGGGTGAGTAAATCATGGAGTAACTTTCATTTTTGGGTGAACTATCCCTTTAATACAGACTGGTTAACCAGGTCGATCTAATACAGTAGTTCAAGAAATGTAATACATTTTTAGGAGAATTACAAGAAAATGTACAAATACATGCTAGACTGGGTGCTGAGAAGACAAAACATTTATTTATTAATTTTAAAAGCAATTGTTAAGATCTATATCTTGTGTAACAGTAAAGCTGGTTATCAAATATATATGTATATATATATATATATATATATATATATATAT